GAAATTTGGTACACATACAAAAAACAAAAGTTTTCAAACGGTTGTAGCTTTATAAGAATGGAAGGATTAACATTTTGAATGATTAACTCCATCGATACTTCAATACCCCCTTATCGCACGGACGTTGTGCCTAATGAATATGGTTTTGTATAGTTTTCATACCTGATCGATTAACTACATAGACTTTTTTAAAAGATCTCAATAACATCCGAATCAGTACAATCCGAATTAGTACAAAAGACATTATAGAAAAAAGCAAAATTTCTTGATATAGATTTTCAATTTTAATGTAGAAAAAAGATAAGAAAAATCTGAAGAAATGAAGGATTTATAGAACTGCGAAAAAGCTTAACAGGTTGTCACGTCGCTTTACGTCAAGTGATTGCTCCGTGAATTCCATGACCCCATGGTAAAAACCATTGTAATTTTTCAAGATTTTAGTAAATTGACCTGATTTTTTACATACTAATAAACAAAATGTATGAAATTTATTCAGACATAGGTCATACTTCACAGTAAACAATAGATTTTCCGTAATTCAATGTGTCCGCGAACTTTTCTAACCTCCGTCGTATAAACGTAAGTTAAACTTATTTCAAAGTATGGAAATCTCCAAGGTTAAGGTCAAAAGGTCAAGATAATTGGTATCCATTAAAAGTTTTTGTCACAAAAAATACCTATGTAAAGTATTGAAGCCCTAGTCCTTACTCTTCGAAAGTTATGGCCCAGGTTAAAAATTCTAAAAGGTAGGACAAACTCTTAGCTCAAGGTCAAAGGTCGTAGGGTCTTGCTATCAAATGATATGTCTTGTCACAATGATTAAATATAGAAGGTATGAAATCAATAACTATAATATTTTTACCAAAAAACATGGTCAAGGTTTGCTTTTTAAAAGTAGGTCAAACTCCAAGGTCAAAGGTCTTGAAATCCAATAAAGGATTTTTTCACAAAAATTACATAGGTAAAGTATGAAAGCCTTTTCCCTTAGCGTTCAAAAGTTATGGCCAAGGTAAATGTTCTTTTAATAAGTTCGGTAATCTCCAAGGTCAACGTCAAAATGTCAAGGGTGTAGGTATTCAATGCAATGGAAAGTCTTTCCACAAAAAATACATTTGTTAAGTATAAATATACAGGTATCTACTATTCAAAAGATATGGCGACCGTAAAAGTTAAAAAAAAAATGTGTAAAAGTGGGTCAAACTCCAAGGCCAAGTTCAAAAGGTGTTGTCACAGGAAACATATATGTAAAATATGAAAGTCATAGCTCCACTAGATAAGAAATTATGGGCAAGGTTAAAGTTTTTGCGGACAGACAGACAGCTAGACAGCTAGAAAGGCAACTAGACAGACGGACGGGGACGACAAAAATTATATACCCCCCAAAACTTCATTTACTGGGTCATAAATACAAATAATCCCTGCGAAGTACGAATAAATTATTCAGCACAATTTTGCTTTAATTAAGTTGCATAAATTGAGATAAAATGGCAACGTCAATTTTCAAGCAATGGCACTTAAATCTTAATTTCTCCACACGGATATTCAAGGCTCAAATAGTCTATTACTTTCGACAAATTCTGCACCTCGTATGTCTGTTTCGAAAGATGTATTATTTTTTGACAATTTAATGATGTGTTCGTCTTCCTGATTGCCACAATTAAGACAGAAAGCATAGGGCACATACGACTCTTACGTAGTCGCAAATAAAGGGGATATGTGTATAAGGTATGGCATGATTCAGATATATCCACCACTTCAACCTTGCATTGACGAACTCGACTGTAATTTATTGTAAACATATTAGTTATTAAAAGTGAATTGTTTTCTTCCTCTTTGGTGTTTCGAGATGTACCTATCTGCATAAAGCATGCCATTTCCATGTTGATGTCGAAGTCATGAAACACATCTGAACTATCCCGAAAGCCAGGATCTGAAATGAACTTGTCACGATTATGGAGCCAGTTTTGCATTTCCTCATTTGTGCTCCGGTTCAAGATTCCGGCATCATAGTTCTACATTGTACGAATTTGCGGAGTACGGACCAAGACAAATACGGTGTCATACATGTATATCCTAAAATCGTTACTACCACCATAATTGGTTTTAATAAAAGCTTGCCATTATGCACAATAAAAGAGCGCTTGGAACCGATTGATTGATTGATTGTATACTGTTTAACGTCCCTCTCCAGAATATTTAACTGATATGGAGACGTCACCATTGCCGATGAAGGGCTGCAAATTTAGGCCTATGTTAGGCCACACCGTGCCACACCTGCTTTGACGCGGGGCCTCGGTTTATACGGTCTCATCCGAAGGACCGCCCCATCTAGTCGCAAGGGGGTACTGAGGACCTATTTTAACCCGGATCCCACCGCGCCTGGAACAGAAAAAAAGTGGAATGATTTCTGATCATAAAGTAGAGGTAGCCAGGGCATTTGGGTCTTGTTCATATCCAGATGAAAAAAAAAACTATTTTGCAAAAGTCTGGTGTGCTTTCATAAGCCATCCGCTCAATCGAGTCATATGGTCGAATCAAACATTGTGAGGGATGAAATCTTAATAAACGGTTCCCCGTGCAGATGATATCATCATACGGTCTTCAATATAAGACTTGAGGATTTAATTTTTGCCCCCCGCTTGAAAAGTGGGGGATATTAATTTGGTTTTGTCCGTCCGTCCGTCCGTCCGTCTTTCTGTCTGTCTGTAACGCTTTCGTTTCCACACGATATCTCGAGAACCCTTTGAGCTTTTGCAATAAAATTTAGCATAGCAGCTCCCTGTGGCCTAAGGAAGACCCCTATTTATTTTGAGGTCAAAAGATCAAAAGTCAAGGTCATAAATAAGCAAATTCCGTCTGTTATAACACTTTCGTTTCCACACGATATCACTAGAACCATTTAAGCTATTGCAATGAAATTTTACATAACAACTCCCTGTGGCCGAAGGAAGACCCCTATTGATTTTGAGGTCAAAAGGTCAAAGTTCAAGGTCGTAAATTTATACATTCTGTCTGTGTGTAACACTATCATTTCCGGGCGATATTTCAAGAAGATTTTGAGCTTATGCAATGTAATTTTATACCAAAACTCCCTAGGACCTCTCTCACCCCTCTCAAAGTGCCCCGCCCCTTTTGTTTTATTAGTATTTATAGTATAACATGTCGCTGTTTTTAGCACAGGGGCATGCGGAGATTTATTGCGTATAAAACAGGTTCTCGGCGGACTTAATGTTCTTATTACATCTATTAGAACTGTTTAATAAAGGCTAAGTAAATCAAACACCATGGATTGTGTAAAATCTTGACAATACCGAACATGAATATATACATGTATGTGACTTCACTTCTGCATATATACTTTATTCCCCTTGTAGCGATTCCGTGGTCTAGTGGTATGTATCCCGCTTCACATGTGAGAGGTCCCGGAATTGAATCTCGGACGACCCCCCCCCCACCCTTTTTTTTTTAATTTCTTTTTTTTAAATGATAGTATTCAGCATGTGAAAAGGATAATTTATGAGGTTATAACTTCATCATTACAGTGTGATAAATATTGCATATAAAAAGAATCTTCTATACACATAATAAAGAATAAGCAATCAAATCTTTATACGCATATTGACATACATGTATTTTATTTGCTTCAGTATACATGTATACATTTAATAATTCTACAAATTCAGTCAGGGAGATCCGACTTTTTCCCTAAGCGGGGGACACGAATTCTCTGAATTAGCTTCTTAAAAAAATATTTTTATCGATAACGTTTGTCCAGAAAAAAAAATCATTTAATAAGAACGAAAAACCGCGCTGGTATAAGTTCACCTATGGTTCGTTGGTTAACATGTTTTTTAAATAACTAGGTCAATGAAGTTCATGCTAGTTGCCACTGATTTTTTTTTTTTTTTTTTCGATGAAAAACGATGAATTTTACTAATAATTACGTATTCTGTTTCTGTTTTATCTAATCGAAACACAAAAATATCAAATAAAGTCTCATACAAGGTATCTTTCCAAGTAAAATAAAGTCAGATGTAAATTAAAAAAAAAATATTGCAATACCAATTTCTATTTCCTTTTTTCATACAAAGAGTATGTGGGATGTTTCCAAGACCAGTCCAATCGAACCTTGGCCGAGAAGCATACAAATACCCAATCCGTGACTGTGGAATACTGCAGGAACTTTTGTGCAAATTACCAGTTATACGGTGTAGAGGTTGTTATAAATTTCTAAGATGAAAATATATAACGTACTGGCAAAGATGTTTATTATATCTGATGAAATCAACATAATTGCAATTATTTTCTAGTATTCCTCTTGGTGTTTCTGTGGAAACTCTCTTACCACAAATGTCAGGAAACCAGATATTGAATGCAACATGAAATGCAGCGGAAATAAAAGGCAAATCTGTGGTGGTGGTTGGAGAATGAACATTTATAGAAAGCCTGACCACAAAGGTGGGTAAACAATATAGCAATATAGCAGTCATTAAAGAAGTATAGTTTTCAAGCCACAGGCAATTCGATACATATACTTTACTGTAGCATTGTCTTTATTGTTCGAAAAATGAATTTCAAGGAACTGCTCATTTTTGTCCCAACCTTTCATCAAAGCAATAGATATTAAGGAAGAATGCCACACCAGGAATTTCTTCAATGGATCTTTAAGACATCCCCCTTAAACTATGGATTCAATATCTGAAGGCCGATATCACCTATTAAATTTTCGATATAATTTTCTTTTTCGGATTTTTCAGAAAAATTAAAAGTTTATTCCATTTAAAAATAAAATCCTCTGACTTATTAAATGTCTAAATAAAACATAATCTAAGTAAAGATAGTATTCTTTTGAAAAAGTTATCATTATAGAATACAAATAAAAATTTGGTTGACATCAGATTGATTTTAATCGGGATTGGAAACAAGACAAATTGTCAGAAATATTGCAGTACCATTTTTCTGGTCTCTTCTTTTCCTATATAGAAGATTTGGGAATTTTTTTAAGACCAAAACAATCGTATCTTGACCGAGAAGAATACACATACCCAATCCATGACTGTGGAATACTGCAGGAACTATTGTGCAAAATACCAGTTTTACGGTGTAGAGGTTGTTTTAAATGTCTTACATAATATATGTAACGTTCTGGTTTCACATAGATACTAATAATATATGAAATTGACAAACTTGCATCTTATTTTAGTATTCCTCTTGGTGTTTCTGCGGAAACTCTTTTACCACAAATGTTAGGAAACCAGAAGTAGAATGCAACATGAAATGTAGCGGAAATGACAGACAAATTTGTGGTGGTGGTTGGAGAATAAACATTTATAGAAAGCCATACCACAAAGGTGTGTATACAGAGCAGTCTTGAAAGTAGTCTAGTTCTCAAGCTATGGGAGTTTCCCACATCGTGTGTTATACACTGATACATGTATATATTGTCTTTATTGGTCGAAATAAAGATTTTCATCGAAGAACTCATTTTGTTCTTAGCTTATATCACAGCTTTAAATATGTAGGAGGATGCCACAACAGATTTTTTATTTTTTACATGGATCGTTGAAGCATCCCTTTTAAACTAATTTTTCAGTTTTGAAAAGGCGTTATCATCTCTTTAACATTTTTTTCGGACTTTTCAGAAACAATGATAGTTTGTTTTATTTCAAAATACACTGTAAAATGCATTACAGTTTGACATTTACTCTTAATTAATGCATAACATGTATGTTTGAAAAGATGTGTAAAGAAATGCTGTATAGAAATCTTCATTTCTCATAATTTATCAATATTTCTTTTATTAAGTTTGTTGTCAAAATCTTCATTAAAGAGTCAAAACTAAGGAAATATATTTTTCTATCTTACTTAAAAAAAAGAGATTGAAATGAGATTGCAAAGTTTTATTAATCTATTTTGTTTATGTTTGAACATAATACGAGAAAACTTAAACCAATCCCAATCAAAATACACACAAAATGATTAAGATAATAATTAATATTATATTGCATTTTCTAATTTTTATTACCCGGATATTTATATGATTGTCAGGTTAATGTATTTTTTAATCCATATTTGACATTATTAAATAAGTGTCCCTTTGAGAATATTATCTTTGGAGAATACTTGTAGAATTCTGGTTGAGATACGATGAATTTTGATAGAATCTGACAGTATAATAATTTTTTTTTAAAGAATGTAGTACCGATTTTCTTATTTCTTTCTTTTCTACATAGAATATCTGGGATGTTTCCAAGACCAGTACAATCGAATCTTGGCCGAGAAGAATACAAATACCAAATCCATGACTGTGGAATACTGCAGGAACTTTTGTTCAAATTACCAGTTTTACGGCGTAGAGGTTGTAATAAATGTCTTGCAAATGATATATAACGTACTGGCTTCAATAGGTTCTCATTTAACTGTGGTATATAAAATCGAACTTTTTGTATCTCATTTCTAGTTTTCTTCTTGGTGTTTCTGTGGAAACTCTCTAACCACGAATGTCAGGAAATCAGAAGGAGAATTCAACATGAAATGCAGCGGAAATAACAGGCAAATTTGTGGTGGGGGTTGGCGAATAAACATTTATAGAAAACCTGACCAGAAAGGTGGGTAAACAGAGCAATCATGAAAGAAGTCTAGTTCTCAAGCTACAGGAGTTTTCCACCTAGTGTGCTATACATCGACATGTACCTATCTTCATTGGTCAAAAATGAATTTCATCGAAATACTCATTTTTGTCCCAAACATTTTTCATAGCTTTAAATATTTAGGAAGAATGTCACACCAGAATGTTATCTAATAAATCTTTGAGACACCCCTTTATTATGATTTATGATTTAAGAAAAAGGATATTTAGATAGCGAACAGTATTCAAAATCAAAGTCCATAAAAAATACAAAATAGGAGCAGAGGAAACACAGTCCTCCGACACATCAGAGGTGGGATCAGGTGCCATGGAGGAGTGAGTATACCCTGCTGACCGATCACACCTGCTGTGTGCTTCTTGTCATGATCGGGAAATAGCGGGAAAATCCGTCGTCAATTCGGTGTATAAATAATGGACTAACAGTTAATATGAAAAAAGTCAGTCAGCAATTGTCTCAATGATAAATTGTATTTGCTGACAAGGCCATTGTATCGACCATAGAATTTACAAAATGATGGTTTTAAACGAGACTGTTGATATTGTTGTGTCATCAACTTTCTTTTCAATAATTTTCCTCGTTTTAGAAATTGTTCGTGCGTAGATCATGCTTTTGCGTATCGAATCAATTGAGATATATACTCCGTATGCAGGTGATGAAGGTATTTTTCTGCATAAGTAAAGTGAGTTGACGATGGAAAAGTTAAAGTTATCATGTTTTTTTGCAAATGAAATATCCAAGTATGAAATAGATGTGACAGACTGTAGTATCATTTATCTCAACCTCACCAAGATACATCGTTTTGACGTAGGAATGGAAATGACCATTGCTAATTTACAATACGTCGTCGAAAAATCTAAATGTCGAGTTGAAGGCCACAGCAAGTGTTTTCTTCTGTTCACGCATACGATTTTGCACAAATTTGCTTCATATAAATAAAAAAAAATAGGTCTCCTAATAACGGAGCGGAATTGGTACCCATGGGATTTTCAGTAGATTGTTAGAATACCTGGTCTCAAAAAACAACATAAATATTGTCAATCAGAACTCCAGCATCTCTTGGTTGTCAACTTCAGATTACTTGTGTGTGCAATCAGAATGTGTTTTAACAAAATAATTTTGCAAATGACCAATGACCAGGTGAGGAAATTTACGATTTCCATTTCTATTGGAAACAAGCAGCTGGCAATGATATCAAAAAGCCTGTATTTTAATTTATTGTGGGGAATGGTTGTGTATAAAGTTGAAAAGTCGTAAGTTTTTAAGCTGTTGATTTTGGTAAAATCTTGTGATTTCAAATTGTCTAAAAGTTCTTTCGAGTTTTTGAGTATCCACATCTGATTGACACCACTTCTTGAATATATTGTTGCACATTACTCTTGAAGTTTTTCCTTTACTTCTGTCAATATCTTAGTGAAGAATAACAACAGAGGCTTGGTTGGAATGCCAACACCACTTATTAATTTTTATATAATTCTTTATTCGGATGTTTGAGACAAAATGAGAATATGTTTGACTTGAAAATAAAATAATCTTTATCAATCATAATATAAATGATTAATAGAATACATGTGTATCTAAAGAAAGGCTGGATAGAAATTTTATTATTCAAAGAAAAATTGTCTATGAATATGAAACATATTGTTAGTGAATAATTTTTAGAAATTTTAAAAATAGTCATAAAAGTAATCAGAACTAGGGAGTATTTTAATTCTATCATATTTTTTAAAGATTGAAATGAAATTCCGAAAATTAAAGAAAATCGTATTTGCATCTGACCCCATCAAAATTATATTGCTCCTGTTAAAAAAATGACAGAAAATGAATTGAATAATATGTCAATGCATTCTCTGTGCATTTTTCACCAAGAAATCGATTAGATTCCTAAGTTCATTTATTTTAAAATCCTTAGCCTAACTATAGCTAGCATAATTTGAAAATGTAATCGTTTCAGAATACTTATAGCATTTTGGTTGAGATCAATTAAATTGTAATCGGGATTGGCAGCATAACCAATTGAAGGAAAATATTGCAGTTACTGTACCAATTATCTGAGCTCTTCTTTTCTTACATAGAATATTTGGGATGTTTTCAAGACCAAAACAATCGTATCTTGACAGAGAAGCACACAAATATCCAATCCATGACTGTGGAATACTGCAGGAACTATTGTGCAAAATACCAGTTTTACGGTGTAGAGGTAGTTATTAATGTCTTACATAATGCATATGTAATGTACTGGTTATTATAGATACTTATAAATATCTTAAATCGACATGCTTGTATCTTTTTGTAGTATTCCTCTTGGTGTTTCTGCGGAAGCTCTCTTATCACAAATGTTAGGAAACCAGAAGGAGAATGCAACATGAAATGCAGCGGAAATAACAGGCAAATTTGTGGTGGGGGTTGGAGAATGAATATTTATAGAAAGCCATACCACAAAGGTGGGTAAACAGAGCAATCATGAAAGTAGTCTAGTTTTCAAGCTACATGAGTTTTCCACCTGGTGTGCTATACAGCGTTACATATATTGTCTTTATTGGTCGAAAAATGAATTTCCTTAAATCACTCATTTTGTCCCAAGCTTTTTTGTACAGTGTTAAATATAAAGAAGGACATCACACGAGAGTTTTATTTTACGAATACGTACATCACTTTGAAACCATTGCTTCATTTTTGAAAGGCCGATATCACCTCTCAACTATTTTATATGATTTTTTTTTTTACTTTTCTGATAAAATGATCAGCTGTTTTATTTGGAAGTACACTGCTTTACAGTTTGACATTTGCTTTTAGAGAAAAATCCTTAACTTGTATGTTTGATAAGATATGTAAAGAAAGGCTGGATAGAGATTTTAAATTCTGAAATAAAGAAATATTTTTCAAAATAAAACATAATTTGTTATTTTTTAAGTTCTTGGTTAAAATCTTCATAATAAATCAGAATTAAGGTAAATATTGTACATAAAAAGAGATTCATATGAAGTGACAAAATTTTATGAAATTAATTTCTTTAATGTTTGAACCTAACCTGCTAAAACTTAAATTGATTGCAATCAAAATATACAAAAAAAATGAATAAAAACAATAATGTATTGCATTCTCTATTTTTTAGCCACCCTGAAATTAATTTGATTCACAATTACAATTATTTTTAACCCATATTGGACATAATCAAATACGTCTTCATTTAAAAAATGTTATTACATTTTTACCCGTGAAATACTGTAATTTATTCATTGAATAAAAATGATATCCTGTCACGGTGTGAAAGGATATCAAAATGATATCCTGTCACAGTGTGACGAATATCAGAAGTGCGGGAAAACTCTCGATTCCCCTTCACATAATGAAGATTGTTGTAAAAAATCTTCCTTGACCTAATATAAGATAGATGGAAATATATAAACCATTCTGACAGCGAATAAAATTGTCAAAATTACCAAAAATATGTTGCTAAATCCATTTTTACAGTGTTTTCATCTCACTTATATATGACGTCTCAACCGCTCAACTATGACGTCATGTAGCCTATGACTCTATTAGAAAAAGACAGGGGCAAAAGAAAAATCAAAGAATTTTTTTTAAAAAATGTAATAAACAGAAAATTCAATGTTTTGTAGTTGAATATGGAATTTATTTCACTCGTGAGACAGGATTTTTTGATATTTTCACTCGTGCTTCGCACTCGTGAAAATATCAAAAATCCTGTCCCACTCGTGAAATAAATTCCATATTCAATTACAAAACATTGCATATCCTCGATTTATTTTTTAAAGAATAGTTGTAGAATTCCGGATGAGATACGTTATACTTTATCGGAATTGACGATGTAGTAAATTACATAAAATGTAGAAACAAATTTCTGCTGTCTCTCTTTCCTACATAGAATATCTGGGATGTTTCCAAGACCAGGGTATCGTTTCACAAAAGCATCGTAAATTACGTACTACTTAGTGAGTTACGACGAACTTAGGTAGTACCTACGCACTACGTTACGACCGTTTCACGAAAGGTACTTAGAACTGTCGTAGAATATGCGCAACTTACGAAGTACCTAATTTTACCGGAAGTTCAATAAAATGGCAGACGAAGCTGTAAATAAAGTCAAAAAAGAGAGAAAAAAGAATTTTTCTGCAAGGGAAGTTGAAATTTTGGTGGAGGAGGTGGAGAAAAACCGTTCGATTTTGTTTGCCTCCCACAAAGATGTTAACACCAACCAACGGAAAAACAAATGTTGGAAAGATATTTGCTCGTTGTAGGTATCTCAAGTGAAGTTTTGTATAGAAGTCTCAAAGTAAATAGTTATCGATTTGTTTCATGTCTAAAACTAGTTTTCAAACACCTAGTTTATATAAATTTCCCAAAAAGGCGGGTGGCAGTATGCCTATTAGGCCTAGGTAATATATGCATAGACCTACGATTCCCTATGTTTTGAGAGTGTATGATAATCAAGTGCTTCATGTATCATATGTTAGACAAAGTACCATCCTACCTTGACAAAAATATGGAATATTCATTTAAATCTATCTCAAATTTAAATAAAAAGGAGTTCCGACTTCCGAGTAAGATCTAAGCCTAGGCCTAGCGTTGGGTTTCCCTTTGATGCTGACAATGCTTCATATTAATAGACTACAATTCATAATACACACAAAGTTGTATTCATTTTCACTCACCTCGAGTCTTTAGATGTAAATTTCTCCATAAATACAACAATTATCTTTTATTCTCGAGGCTGTATCAAATGGTCTGCATGTTTACAAAAATGTATCATGTCCTTCACCTTTTTTTATAAGCACGTCATAAAATAATCTCGAATCAATCATTAAAACATTCAAGGAGTGAATAAAAACTTTTATTCATGATAATACTCTACCAACATGATGTCACTTTCTTAAAAAGGTTTATGAAAGAGAGAAGCGATTTTTATTCTTTTTATAAAGTAAAATGCCTTTTTTTCGGGCAAAATTCAACTGAAAAAAAAATGTGGAGGATCTATAGTTTTTAGTGAGTTGGAAATAGTTGCTATGCTAAAGAACAATAATTCTTATGAAAATTGCAGGCTAGATTTAGACATGATTTAATCATATTATTAAATATACTAGGATTTTAAATTACAAGTAATCAACAAACAAAATAATAATAAATTAATTACCATTTACTACATTACATAAATTTTAAAAGACTTGTAACAACTTTTAATAAATCACGACAGAATCAACAGTGTAGGATGTCAGGAAAGGTCGCCTGCTGAGGTCTGCAAAAAATGGAGGGACATATCGTCCCAGACGAAGAAAAAAGAGGCGGAGTTCCGTCGAGAGAGGACCAAGACGGGAGGCGGTCCAGCCCCCTCACCAGTCAACACCAGCGATATCAGCCAAAAGGTTGTTACATGTTGTGTAACCTTATTAAAAATCACCTTTTTTTGTTCGAAAATAATCCAGATTATTTAATAGGTCCCCTATGAGTTTATGATAAAAAAATCTCATAGAAAATGTTCTTTAACTGTGCACACATGTAAATGGTTTAATTGATGAAATACTTTTTGTTTAGAAATGTGATAAACAAATAATAGATTTTATGATCTTTTTTCTTATACATAGTGCCTTGTTATGTTACGTTTTCTTTTTTTTAATTAAATTCTTTAAAAGCTATGTATTATTGGCGGTAAGATTAAAAAAAAAATACCTATTTTCAGGTCGTGGCTATAATAGGAAAGACTTCCGTTGAAGGTATTACGGGTGGGGTAGATACAGACATTGATATCTCAGGTACGCCCCCCCCCCCCCCCCAGTACTCTTCAATCCTTCTCTTTTTCTGTTAGATAGCATAAAGCTTAATACCTTATACAATAGTCGACTTCTTAGCGATTCAATTCAATGCATATGCCAGTAAACAAGAAACATATATTAGCATACCATTTCTTTAAAAAAATGCATCAAAAACAGTGTACAAGAATGTATTTTGTCCATAAAATAAAATAATAAGTGAATGCAAATTCTGGCTTCTGATTAAACATTCTTATAATGCATTTACAGAAGTGGATTTATTCAAAGTTGAGGACGTTTGGCTCTCCACACCTACCTCCTCAATTAATTCGGAAAAGGCCGCAGTCCCCACCCCCACATTATCACAGTCACCGGGACCATCCATGGCTTCTCAGGAGAAGGAAGAAACACAGACTGCAGGGTTGGAAGCAGAAGATGTCGCTAAGGCACCGGGGTAATTTCAATACAAACGAATACCAAGTACTTTTTTTTTTTTTTAAAAAAAAACGTGTTGATTATTTTAAGCAATCTTTGTTGTGTATTTATGAAAAATTTGAATATTGCGATCCAGAAAATTCAAGGTAGAAGCACGTATTAATAATTACCTGCAGAATTGTAGCTTTCCGAAAAATATATTGATAGATCAAAGAGCAACAGTGCCACCCATTGAAAAAATCTGTATATTTATTGCGCACAAAAAGTTGCGCTTGTGTATGGATGAATTCTTCCAAATCCTTAAATTGCCAAAAATTTAGATTTTAAAAAATCCCGTACTCTTCTATCAAATACTTTCGTATTTGACATATACACGAAGCGCGTTTGGGCTGAATTATCTTAATAAACCAAAATAATACATATAGTTTAAACAGACGAAATTTTCGATGATCTCGATTCAATGATAGGAGGTCTGTAAAAATCAACAATTAGGTATGTTTTGTTGTGGAAACAGTGAAAGATTACGTGAGAAACCCGCGGTTAGTAATATTTTGATATCAGAGTTTTAAAAATATAGAGAAATAAATTGATAAACAGCGCATTTTTTGTGCACAATAAATACCGGTATACAGTTTTTTTACAATGGGTGGCACTGTAGCTCTCCGGTCTTTCATATTATTTTTTCACAGAGCTACAGATCTATCTCCGGTCTGTCAAATAATTTTTTCGGAGAGCTACAGATCTGCAGCTATCAAATGATTAGATCGAAGTTTTTTTTTCAAATTAAAAAAAAAGAAACACAGCTAAAGTCGTTAACAATCCAACTTTGTAAAATCATAAAATAGCATAGGCAATATGTAGTGTTATTTATTCTACAGGAAAAATAAACTTAAGAGGAAGAGAACTCTGGACGATGTCTATGAGCTGCAGTGCAAAGTTCTTGAACAGGAACTTCAAAAAAAAAACAAATTGCAAATTGAGCTGCTGACAAAATTAAATGGACGTGTTGGAAACGGAAAGGATGGAAAAGGACATGATTTGTTGTTAGAGCTGTTTGCGTCACTAACAAATAATTGAAAATGAATCTTTGGGAATTGATTAAAATTGCACACTTGACAGATTCTATGTGTTACTCTCTCTTTTCAAATCCATTGATTTCTAAATTTTCCATATATGCAATAAGTTTACTTATTTTTACAAAAAACGCTGACGAATTAACGCTTCTCTCACTGTCTTGCCATCGTTCAGAGGTCCTTGATAGGTAAGATCGCCGTCCCGGTCCGCATCATTAATGTCATCCATCTCGTCCTCTTCAAGTATAGGAAGCTTCAAGTCAATGCAGATATTATGCAGTTGACAGCAAACATACGCTATCATGCAGCATTTCTCTGGTTCATAATTAAGAGCACTTTCGGTTTTATGAAGACATCTATGTATGTAAGAATAAATGTTTAAGTGACTAACTTAAGCTACATGTATATAATGAAGAATAGAGGATTCAAGGTACAAGAATACAATTTATAAACCAGCAAACTTTATTTTTTCTTCCTTTTAAGGATTATATTTACCCATTTAAAGGCTTGAAAAAAAAAAAAAAAACTTGCAACATTTCTTCTAAATAACATGCACCGCGAGTTCTTAACCAATTAATAATTTGATTGCTTTATACAGTACTTTCAAGTAAATTAGTTTAGTCTGATTCGCATTTAGTCTGAGAAACATGTGTTAAAATGTACAATTAATGGCTGAATAATAAAGCGACACTCTCAAGCATAGCAACAGTTAACATTGCCTGGCGACAGGTGATATTCCATGCGCGCAAGGTCCACTGTATTTGTTTTACAATATGCTTCGGTTAACAATGATTTTCTTGAGGTGAACATTTTCAATGTTACACTCAGCTAGAGGCAATATTTACCGTATACATTATCATGGCATCCCGATGGTATTCGGACCAAACTTTCTTTGTTCAGCCTTAAAAGACACTTTTAGCCTTACCTGAATCGGGACTTCAGAACTCCAAAAGCCTGTTCTACAACAACACGGGTTTTTCTGTGGGATCCATTGTAACTCTGTTCCCCTCGATATTTAGGGTTATTCACTGGAGTTAAAAGCCAAGGCCTTAAAGGATAACCGGAGTCGCCAAGTAACCACCCATCAATTTCGCTCCTCTCGAACTTGCGTGCAATACCAGAATTTGCCCAGATAAAGGCATCGTGTGTTGCCCCAGGCCATTTTCTCACTACACTCAGAAACCTAGTACAATTAATAATAATGGTCTAAACGTATATACTGAGTAACCCTAAGTTATAGAGGCACGTAGCAACGGATGGGGGGGGGGTCAGCCCCCCTAACTTTTTTTCCTTGAGGAAAGTCAAATACAGGTATAATATTATAGTAGTGTATGAATAATAAATGGTACTTAAAGAATTTCGAAACACATGAAATAAGATTCTCGAGTGTGGACAATCTGACAAGGGGGGGGGGGTGTCCTATTTTCTTTTTTTGCTCGTCAAGTTTTCATCAGGTAATGTTGAAAATGTTACCCCTCTGGCTGCCCTTCTTAGAACGATGATACGTCATTGGCTTTACATTCTTTCATGCATCAGGCTGCATAACCTTTACTATAGTAAATGTCCATTGATAGGATGGTTGCCCCCCCCCCCACTTTATAACCATAGTATATGATACGTCATTGGCTTTATATACTTTCAATTTTCCTTTTTTTTCTCTTTTTTGCTTGTCAACTTTTTCAAGTAAGTAAAAAAAATTTTCTCAGGTTGGCCCCCCCACACTTTCAAAAACGATGCTACGTGCCTGTGCATATTTCAAATTATTCTCTTTTTCTCTCACCGCGAATCATAATTTTTGTTATTAAACTCAATGAATTACCGGTATTTATATTCCCATTGAACATCAAGAAGAATGAAACGTTAAGGCTAAAAATGTTAGACTTTTATAATTCAGAATTATCAATACATCACACTTTGCCATGTGTATTGAAAATATTTCACTGAGAAAAAGGAATTTCGGCTGAACTTGACACTACCGTCGTGTTTTGTATAAACAAAGATGCTTTTTAATAACAACATTTGTCAATTAAAACGAATGGAATTAATGTTTCACTTATTAGTATATAGTGAATGTTACAAATATTAGGAATATTATAGGGACATACTTCAAGTCAGAATCAACAATGGCTTGTACGTTGATGGAATGAAATCCTTTCCGACATATGTACAGGTGCTCGTCAGGTTTTGGCGCTGTAATAGGAATAAGCGTGTCGTCAATTGCACCGACCACGTTTGGAAACCCCGCAATTGAATAAAACCCGTGTTTTGTTTTCAAAATGTCTGCATCTTCAGATGGAAATTTAATGGTGTTCAAAGATGTGGACAAAACTTGGACTACTTTGTCAATTGATCTGTAAACAGAGTATGATCTTAAGTGTCTCTGCTATATTAAGCTTGCAACATTATATTCAAATCTTAACATTTAGATGTCATAAAAATAAAGGAATTTTCTGTTTAAATAATATGATACTGCATATGTATAATAAATAAATATTTTGAAAAAAAAAATCTATACACAATGGCGACATATTCTATAAACTAATGTGTATTTCTTTTAATATACAGTCTAATAGTAGTACACATGTTTCATTTCTATCAAATTAAAAAGACATATATTTCATAATTTAAACATTCGCCGACCTGCACACCGATGACTTTGAGATACCAAGAGTATCGCCGATGACTCTCTGTTCTGTCCCCGAAGCTAGGAATCTAAGTGCGGCGAATAATTGTATGGATGCTGGCAAACCTTGAGAGCGCTTTGTAGGTCTTTCCAGCTGCTCACCGACATTGTCTAAAATACTTAGGATTGATCCTCTATCTAAACGGAACCTCTTAATCATCTCTTCATCACAATATGAGTTAAGTGGGTTTAACCTGTCTCTAAAAATACGCTGCCGCCTCAAACTTTTTCGTGTCTCGTCATCGTAGAACCGCAAAAACGCTGCCATTTTCAAGTACTCACGTTATGACGTGATTTTACGTCACCTCTGAGGTGACGTAAAATTACGTCGTTACGTACGACGCAATGTGAATTAAGACGCTTTCGTGAAACGCCGAAATTTAACTACGCACTACTTACGTCGTACTTACGTACTACGTACAACTTACGATGCTTTTGTGAAACGATCTCCAGGTTAACAATGGAAAGTTTTTTTTTTTTCATTCTTACACTTTGTATGACTTTGTCATTTTCTCAACAACAAAGAGAAGTGAAATTATGTTTTTTTTTGTTTTAAATTAACCGTAAACGTGGAGGAAGTCGGCGAGGTATTTGTTACCAATTGCTGTTGTAACAAGGTCACGGTGACCGGTCATACCCAATTCTTCAGTATCTCCATTTAAGACTCGAACGATTTGAACTGTGGTTAGTAAGAGAAATTTAATTAGGTTACTCAATTATAATAATACTATTCATATAATTGCTAGCGCTCTAGCAACTACGTTAGTCCAAATTCCTTTAATACGCATGCTCGGCCGCCATGGTGGTGCATTCTGGGAAAACTGCACTCGATCGGAGTTCCTCGGATGACTCGTACCTCGCACATAACACGTTTGAATGAAGCGGAGCGGAGTCAGCCGAGGATTGCCGATTGGGACAAATGTGAAAACTACTACAGATAGACCTTACGATAACAATTTCGTTGTATCATGTTTTAGCATGAAATAACTGTTCATTTATTGTGTAGCTTACACTTTAAAGATATTTATAATATTTCAAATTCTGGGTTTTTTTTGCTGACGGCAGAACCCGAGTCATTATCTGATTGTTCTAAACAATGACAAGGGATTTTTTTTTTTTTACATCTAAGCATAGATACATCAAAGATAGATTCTAATTTCTGATTGGTCATTTCAGCCAATCTTACAAATTCCAGAAACAGAAGCAAGAATTTACACTAAAAACAACGAATAAATCCACTATTTGTGTTTTAAAAATTCTGATGTGTATGGCTTTTAACCTAACATATCTTGACAAAGATGACCCACGTACAGGACCAAGCTATTTCACATGTGTTCCAAACTCTCTGGACTCTTTTCACAACATACACTTTGAGTTATTTTCTATATTCCTTTCAACTCCCATGTACCTTCTTTGCTAAATTGCCAAGAAATTCTTTTCTTTTAATCAGCTCATAAATGCAATGTCTCAATCGGCATCTTCTTCATATTATAGAGAGCCCCCCCCCCCTCTCCAGTAAAGGTCATATATGTTCCGTTGCGCCAAAACTCCAATAGGTCAACCCCCCCCCCCTTGTTTCTTTACCTATGTGTCTATAAAATACGCTTTACAAACCAACAATAACTTTATTACTCTCCAGCCTCGATAAAAATTAAGGAATTCAGCAAAATAAATCACTTGATCACGGATCTTCCTTTTTGTGTTTAAAAATTGCTACGGCGCTAGCTCACCTATCTTTTTAAAAGATAAACTTGTTTTTTTTTTAAATCAAAGAAATAATATTTCCCTTATAAGATTGCGCTCAATGTTCCTTTTACATCGAACTTTTCGTATATTTTTAGAACCCTAGGAAAAAGGAAACGGACCAGAACAATGTTCAGAATACAAGTAAGTATGTAACCTATATACATTTTACTATTATTATGTATCATGTAATTGACCCACATGAAGGGTATAGCATAACATTTTTCAAAATCTATCCAGAATTATCTTTCCCAACTTCGTGTATAAGTGGAGGGTAACAGGAACGATAACTCTAGATGGAAATTGATCACTGTAAGGATACAGTATAAATAAGTATACTTTCATATTTTTTTTATTTATCAATGTAAAACATTCATCACCCTTACCCACACTTCCATCACAATTAAAACTACTGCAACTCCTTCTGATAAGACAAACACCACCAAATATTTGGGTACGTGTTAAAATTATTTTTGTGTCTTTAACACTTCTTTACATCAGAACATGTCTTTTTCTAGAGAAAGTAATGTTATAAGTTTTTGACAATATTTTTTTATAACCTTTCATCGTTTTACACA